CTACGCCTTGAGCAAGGACTATCAGTGTCCAGAGGAGCGTCCTTTGCTGCGCTGCTGGTACCGTGACACTTTGTTTCACAGGATTTGGACATGTCCAGCGCCGAGCGAAGAACGTCTTGCAATCGAAGGACACCATATGTTGGATGAAATAGTCGATCACAGTTTGGACCGCAACGTGTTGTTTTCTGTCACTCGGGGAGGGCTTCCACATTCTGGGAATGTTCATCCTGGTCCTTTGGTGAAAGGGCCCTGGGTGTCCGAATGGTTTGTCGAGCCTCCTGAAAACCAGTTTTCGCTGGAGGGTGCCATTTTTACCGACGGCTCTTGCACGAAGCATCCCATCCGCGAGCTTCGCCGCGCCGCTTGGTGTTTCAACGCGTTTCGCGACGGGGTGCGAGTTTGCGAGTTCCGCTGCCCAGTGCATCCTCCATTTCGCCAGACCCCCTTGTCAGCGGAGTATTCTGGACAGGCGCTGTTATGTGCTTATCGAAGCCCTCGCTAATCTATGCTGACGGTGCTAATGTGGTAGATGAATCGGAGGTGAGGGGGTGAGATCGAAGTGGAACGGAGAGCCCCCCTACCGGGAAATCGATTTCGGTTTCGTCTTCGTGCGTGCCGTGCGTGCGGGCGAGGCGAAGCTGCGTGGGCGGGCAAGAGAAAGTCTCCTGTGGCTGAGGCGCGGCCGGACCAAATGATTCTCCACCGGGCGGCCGGTGGCGCGCGGTGTCCCGCCGGTGTCCCGCTGGTGTCCCGTCGGTTCTCCTGTGGCTGAGGCGCGGCCGGACCAAATGTTTCCCTTCCGGGCGGCCGGTGCGCGGTGTCCCGCCGGAGTCCCGCTGGTGTCCCGTCGGTGTCCCGTATGTGTCCCGATGATGATGTGGATGATTATGATGATGATGATGATGATGATGATGATGATGATGATGATGATGATGATGATGGTGATGGTGATGGTGATGGTGATGATGATGATGATGATGGTGATGATGATGATGGTGATGATGGTGATGATGATGCGCGAGCTCGAAAGAGGAAGGGAAACAATTACGATGTTGCCCATTGCTGGGCCCCTCCCCCCCAACCTAGACCGAATGAGAGTTCGACTGTGAGACCGAATGTGAGATCGATTGCGAGATCGATTGTGATATCGATAGTGAGATCGACTGTGAGATCGATAATGAGATCGATTGTGAGATCGATAGTGAGACCGAATGTGAAACCGAATGTGAGATCGACAGTGAGATCGATTGTGAGATCGATAGTGAGATCGACAGTGAGACCGAATGTGAGACCGAATGTGAGATCGATTGTGAGATCGATTGTGAGATCGATAGTGAGATCGATAGTGATATCGATAATGAGATCGAATGTGAGATCGATAGCGAGATCGATTGAGTAAGACGTTGGTTTCCCCTCCCCCCTCACCTCCTTATCACCCGCAGGGTGGTCGTATAGGTATGGAGCGGATCCCGCAGTGCACGGTCATTTTCGCAAGGCCTACGCGGGTAACATTGTGCAGGCTCGTTCGTACGATGCCCATAAGTTTTTGGAAGGAACTGGCAAGGCCAAATCACATCTCAGCTTGAACGGTCCAGACCTGACGGGGGAAGGGCTCTTCCGCAGGACGGGAGACCATCTCGCTGACGTTGGTGCCGAGGCCGCACTAGACTTGCAACCGAAAGATCAAGCCATCCTCGAAGAGACTGCTCGGAGGATTCGTTTCACAGATGCCTTCTGCAAGCCAGAAGCTTTTGCCGAAGTTCCCTGCCCTCAGACAGTACGGCGAGGTTGACTACATCAAGACTGTAGTCGCCAAGGCCGATATAGCTGTGTCCGAATGCTGTAAGTTCTCTTGGATCGTGGAATTATGGAAATGTAAAGCTTGCTGCAGGGCCTCCAGGGGGAATTGTCAGTTCAGGTTTGGTGGCCGTCCCACGCCCCCTCCCAGGAAGTGTCCTGGACCTGTCTTGGGGCTCGATTTGTCTCAGATCGCGGCCAATCGTCCTTCCATAGTTGCGTTAGCCTGTTCCGACCATTCCACTATGTAAATTTGCGTTCCTTGCACGCCTTCGATTTCCACGGGTTCGCCCCAGAAGGCCAACCTGTTTTTGAAACGCTGCACGGGCCCTGGCAACATGGACACTCGTCGAAAGTCTAAACGGCAAAAGGTTTTTGCTGGGGGACATCCGCAAGATAGGAAACAGCATGCTCGTGTCATCAAGGGATCCAAGAAGGTGGAGCAACGGATTTGTGCAGCCTTTCGTCTTTTGCCGCTTCGCCTCCTTCGGGCTCTCTTGTGCAAGATACTCTGGCCGCGCAGGTTGAGACTGGACCAGCGGACTCGTCGTCGTCCACCAGCTGCGGTATCCTAGCGCCCAGTGCTGTTCTGTCAGACGTTCGCCCTCAGAGCGACCAGTGCGCCTTCCTTCGACGAGTGGCCTCCTCTCTCCGCGCGGAGGAAGGTGCTCGTGTCAGTTCGAGGGCGGACTCGGGCGTGGAGTCGGGTTCGGGATTAGGCTAAACTTCTTTAGCCTCAGACCTACGGGGTCGTTGAGGTTCTTGTTTCCTGGGCGCCTCCCTGATAGGGCCGCCCGACACCAGGGTTTTCGGGCTGCGCGCCCTTCTGTCCCCGCTGCTCACCCCCCCGCATTAGCAGTGGCCGCTGCAGGTCGCCCTGCAGCCTGTTGCAGATTTCAGGCATTCGCTGCACCTGTCTCTGCGTGGTCGTGGCGTTTTCCTCGACCACTTGTACTAGCAGCTGGAGCTTCGCGGGCAAAACAAAATCCTCCTCCTCCTCCTCCTCCTCCTCCTCCTCCTCCTCCTCCTCCTCCTCCTCCTCCTCCTCCTCCTCCTCTCTCTCTCTCTCTCTCCCTCCCTCCCTCTCTACCTCTCCACTGATTCTCCCTCTCACTCTCCCTCCCTCGCTCGCCCCGCTCCCGCCCCTCACGGGCACGGCCGAAAGAAACTATCCCTTCCCCCTCCAAGCCTCTGGGGCGGAGGTTTCCGAGGCCTCAGCAGGGCCTCTTGAGCCGGCACCGCTCCCGGGGCAGAGTGCTCGGCGGCGCGCGTGCGCGCGCGCAAGGACACGGCGCACGCGCGGCACCCCGCTGCGCCGCTGCCGCCCACGCCGCCGGAGCCGGCGGCGCGGGCCTCGGAGCGCGCGCGTCGCGCGATGCGCTGCCAGCGGGGGTGTTTGCCGTTTTCGGTCTCCCAGGGCTTTCCAGGCGCCCCGGGGCTGTCAGAAAACGGCTCGGGATGCAGCGCTCGTCCTGGGAGGAAGGCCCCGGGGTCCAGGACACGTTCCCCTCGGGGCCCGCTCCCCCCATGTTTAGCGCATGCACGTTGTTCGGCCAGGCCAGCGCCAGCTGGGGCATCTTTGGCCATCTCGGGAAGCGGGGGGTCAGCGCTGGATTTCAATGTCCAAGCCAAGATGGGAGTTCCACTCGCTTCCAGGCCTTGGATTCCAGATCCAACCAATGGTTCTGTATCCAATGTCCTCACCGTGCCATAAGTGGCTGGGCCTTCGCGACAGGGCCCTGGCCGACCATGGATAGTGCTGACCCGGGGTAGTGCGTCCCGAAGCCGGCCCCGCGCGCGCGATTCGCTGCTGGCCAGGGGGGGAGCTGTCCGCGACGGGACCAGGAGAATGTCCATTATAGTATGTTGCGTTTGTCCGTTGAGTGGCAAATGGGTCGAAGCACAGTGTATAGTTGTTCAACACCTGTCGCCCGGAGAACCGGCCAGGTAGTTACACACTACACGTTGTCTTGTGGAGTTCATGCGAAACCCCGTGCGATAGGGCGCATATGCTTTGATACGTTTTAGCAGCTATAACGATGTATACACATGTGTATGCATGCATGTAGGGGTGCAGGACTGCATGATTGAATGTATGTCTGTATGGATGCATGTATTAACATATTGATGTGTATTTGAATGTATGTATGCCTGCACGGATGCGTTTATGTATGACTGTATGTATATATGCAGGCATGCATGAATGTCTGTATGTATTCATATATGTGTGCATGTATGTTTGTATGCATGCATGTATGTAGATATGCATAGATGTACCGAAACACACATATATATGTATAGCTATCTATGCCTATATATATGTGTGTGTCGCCAGGCCTAGAATTGTATCCATACATGTGCACACCTGTACACCCATACAGATATCCGTAGTTTCATGTACGATACTATATGGACGCGGTTCCCACAACTCGTCGCCACGGCTGTCTGCAGCTCGAACACTTGGTGCGTTTGGACCCGGGAGGGTTTGGGTGACTGCAGTTGAATTGCCGCGTCGCATGTTGTACTTGCTTCGGCTGCAACAGTCAGCGTCGGAGACGGACGCTGAGGGAGTCGGCTCTTGGGTTTTGTTCGCAGTTTTTGGGCTCCTGGGGCCCAGGGTTCTCCACGGGCCCCTGGACCTTCGAACAATTGCTTCAATTGAAAAGTTGGTCTCAGAGAGGGGCCCCACTGTCCATGACAACTTGTTGTGAGGACCTGTTTCTCGTATGTCAATCCAAGACGCTCCGCGTAACCCCACCAGCACCTCCAGAGACGATGCTCAGGCGACTTCTCCTGACCAAACCGTTTTGGCTCAAGCTGTTTGGGCTTGAGCTTGGTACTGCCGACGCTTCAACACGGCTGGGTTCTAGTGGGCCTGTGGGGCTTGGCGCCCAGTCTCTTCAACGATACTTTTTACGAGGGGTCTGCCATGGTCCTCACGCCGCGATGGGCAGGTGCTCCCTGGCGTCAGAGCCAGGAAGCGCAGCATGAGTCGTGTGGTGCGTGCGTGGATGCAAGCGGAACAGGGCTTCGCGACAGCATTGCAAGCATTGCTAGTCGTGGAGGTCCAACACCGACGGCGGCGACACCTCACACGTCCAGCCGTCCCCGCCAGGCGCCTGGAGTTCTAAAGTCTCGGCTGGCACCTGGCATCCCTACCGCCCTGGTCCTCTTTTTCAGCTGGGTGCTGTGCGTGCTGGTGGATGAGGCGAGCCTGTGGACGAAGCAAAGCGCCTCTCAGAGCTTGTTGCCACTCTCAGCGCTCCCGGGGACACCGGATGGAGCAGATGTACCAGGCCAAGCTCGACCAGCATCGCGCTGCAGCACGCGTTGATAGACCAGCCCAGCAGCGTGTCAGCAAGGCCTTCAACGACATGCGCACGTTGGAGGGCAAGCTTTGTAAAGCAGCCACGCATTCCGAGAAGCTACAGGCTGACTTCTTGGCTCAGAAATTCACGGTGCAACGTTTGCCGGTGGAGTTATCCGAAGGTGAGGGTCGTCACAAGTCTCTCGCCATGGAACTACACCAGTCCGTGGATGGGAAGGCCGCCAGCGACGAGAAGCCTAAGGAGACCACACCAGCCTCGATCTCCATTGAAGACGTCATAGACCGCAAGCTCCTCCCAATCAACATGGACTCTCTTCTGTCAGTGGAGGCCGAGCATGAACTCAGTGAAGAAGGTCGTGTGTTTCCAGGCTGGAAAACGTTTCACAGAGCTTCAGGATGCCATCCGTGATGGGGTCAATCACCACCCACCAAACCACCCCAACCCACCCCGAAGCCCTCAATTTGCCCTTCATTTCCAGTGTGGGGGGGGGGTCGGGGAACGTTGAAAGAACACATGGAACCCGTACCCCCCCCAACTCGAAATTGGGGTCAAATTCGGGTCTTCGGGTTGGGTTGGGGTGGTCTGGTAGGTAGTCAGTCAAGGAGCTCTTCGGGAAGGCAGCGGAGCACGCCCCCAAGTTCATGGAGTCCAAATGGAGCAGCTCACCAGTGTCCAGAAGACGCGGGAGATCGTCCCGGGCAGCAGCGGTGGCCCGCCCGCTGATGGGCTGATGGGGAAGGGGAAGTCGCTCGCGTTCCCGGTGCCGGAGCGGATCCTGGGCGGCCTGGCGCCCCAAGGCGGTGGCAACACTCGGGGGCCACATGTGAACCCTACCCCTACCCCCCACGATTTTTGAGGGGATGGTGGGGGTCACTTCGCTCGGGAGCTCCCGAACGAAGTGAACCCCACCCTCCCCCTGGGAAATCGTGGGGGGTAGGGGTAGGGTTCACAGGGCTCAGAACCCGCGGGCTCGTGCCCACCTGGGCGCACGTCAGGCCATGGGTGGGCGTCGCCACCTTGTGCCTTCGCTATGTTTGGAGTCTTTGGTCTGGATATTTTTTTCGGCTCGCTCGTCGTGGATCTCCCAGGCTGACGCCTTCGTTGGTGGTTATCACTCTAGGGATGGTTGTTCTGCGGGCCCTGTGCATCGTGCTGTGGCCCACGCGTTGGCTATGGCTAAGGGGGCCCTGCTGGCGAGTAGTATGGTCTTGATGCCCAGCGGCCCCATTGCTCTTCGTGGCCCTCTCCAACCCCAGTCTTCGCCCAGCGAGGACATCTAATTTTTTAGCGCCACGGAGGCCAGTAGATTCCCTGCGCGCAGCCTCGCACCGCGGATTGAGACCTGTAAAGTGTCTGGGCGAGGGTCCAGCCAGCTCTAGTTGCAAAGCGCTACCTGGCAAAACGCTACCTCGGACGTGGTCCTGATGCAGGGGCACGAGCAGCTCGCGAACTATATCGAGTCAGGGCCCTCATGGGTTAGGCGCCACGGTTGGTAAAGCTTTTGGTTCGCGGCGGGTCTTGGTGCATGGGGAGGGCCATCATTTGGAGTTGCTCTCTTCGTGCGAATTGGTTTCGGTCTGCACGCTCCTGACGGTGGGCACGTCGTCGCAGCTGCGCGCGCTGTTGCTGGCATTGTCGAAGTGCCAGGACAGCCCCCGTTTTTAGCCATGGCCGCCGATTCTGTGAGGACCTCCTGCACGGACATGTCGATCTCCTGGCCTCGTGTCTTTCCCTGGGGGATGCACTGGGATGTCCGTTTTTTTGTTGTTTCTCTTCTGAGGGCTGATTTCAACGTGGAGCCCGGAGCCTTTCTTATGCTTGCGTGTCTACAGGAGGACGGAAGACGTGCGACGATTTCATCGTTTCGGCCGGCCCGGCCATGACGGTGTGCTCAGTGACCGCGATTCGGGACACGTCCCTTTCCACGCTCGCGCTCATCGCCGTCGCGCTCCAGGCCCTGGGTTTCCTCCCCCCCCTCTTCCAGTGGGGCGCCTCCCTCCAGTTTGTGCGCCTGGGCCCCTGCGAGGGATCGATCGGGCGCTTGCCGCGCTGGACTCGTCTCGGGTCGTTGCCGCTCATGGGGGTATGGAAGCGTTTCAGAAAGCTCTATAGATCGTGCTGGCGCTTCGCGAGCCCATGCGGGGGAGAGAGAGGGGGCCGCGGCGACGGGGACCACGCGTTGCAGGTGGGGTCTTCGCACTCGGCCAACCTGGATGCGCTGGGAGCCCATGCTCCGTAATAGCAGCCATCAGGGCAATGCCCCGCCTTCTTCTTGTAGGTGGTTGGCCTGTTGTTTCGCTGCGTTCGAGGCCCACTGGGCCGCGGGCAGTCAGGAAAGCACTCGGGAGGTCATGACTCGTCTTGCGAATTGCCCCCTTGGCCACCGCCAGCACCGTGGGAAGGCCGGGCACTTCCGTGATGCGTTGCTGTTTTTCATTATTGTGTTGCCCATGTATGGGCCAGCCAGTGGCCCGCCCCTTGATTTCCCGCGGAGCTCAGGTCTTTTGCAGCAAGAGCTCCAAGTCGTTGAGAGAGATGCCGGGGCGGTTGATAGTAAGGAGTGGAGGGAGTAGCTCTTATGCAAAGTTCATCTGGGGTCTACGCGAGCCCACGTGGTTTCCAAGGGAGCGACCTCCTGGATCTCCACCACAACCCCCTCCTTGGAGGGGGGGGGTGGCTGATCCCCTCTTCTTGTGTAAGGCCGAGGCTACCAGGTTTTCCGAACCTTGAGGGGGCGGCCTCACTGGGCATTGGTTTGGGCATGGAGAACTCGCCCCTGACCCCCCCCCCCATCCCTGTAGGAACCATGCGAGAATTCCCACGCAGGTTCAAAGTTCACTGTGCAGTTGAGATGTATGGCCTTCACATGAAGCACTTTTCGTTCATGAGCGATGGGCCGTTGCTGATCCTCGCTGGCATATTTGTCCGTTTTGGAGGTGACGGCGCTGATGCCTCGGCATATTGCCATCGCGATGATGACGCTGATCCCGAAGCCGTCCTCGGGCTTTAGGCAAATCTGCATCTTTCGTTTGGTTTACAGAATCCACGGCAAGGTGGGAAGGCCGATCGCCCAGCAGTGGGAACCGACTTACGCTCGAGACGATTTCGCTGCGGGTACTTTTGATGGGTCAGCCGACGTCGTCTGGCGTCCAGCTGTGCGATCGGAGCTCTCGGCCCACAGCCAGGAGAAAGCGAGCACGGTCGCTCTGGACCTTGACGAACACTTCGAGACGATCGACCTCCAACTCTTGCGGAGCTGAGCCAGGGAGGTCGGGTTTCCCAACGGGCATTGTCAGGCTTGCTATATCTATGCGCCTCCAGGCCAGGATGTTTGTCCTGAGTAGTTTCGCGAATAGGCCCTGCTTGACGAAAGAGGGCGTCGTCGCAGCACGCACGTTCGCCGCGTCGCTTCTCCGGGCGTGCGCTCTGCAGGGCCCAGACAGTCTCTCGCCCCCAGCATCTGTGCACAGTATGCCTTGCCATCAGAAGCGACAGCGGGCTGAGCGCGACTGGCACTCGAGAGCAGCTTCTCCGCGATCTGCCTACAGCTGCGAAGAGCTTAGTATCGGTGTTCGAGGAGGGGACAGGGGCTCACAGGGCAGGCGTTCGCTGATCATGTCATCTCTAAGGCGCCGGGCCGCGATCCTGGAGCTAAGCTTGGAGGGCCAGTGGGGCCGTTGTGCGCTTTGGCCGCCGACCTCGGCACTGATGACTGCCGGGCGGCCTCGGCGCGGCACAGGTCGCAGCGCGGAGCTTCTCAAGAGGGTATCGAAGGCTTTTGCGTTCACCAAGCGGCGGGCCAAGCTTCGCCCCGCGGTTGGGGGCCGAGCGTCCCGCGGCGCTTTCGCGTCTGGGCCCCTGGCATCCGAGCATTTTGGTTCTGAAGTGTTTGGCGTCTCCGATGTTGAGCTCTGGCAGTCTCTGAACTTCGCCGCGGGAGGCCTCAGACGTTCTGCGAAGGGCGGCTGCTCTGCTGCCGGCCCGCGACGAGCCGCGCTGGCTTGCGGCTGTCTCGCCCAGTGTGAGATACTCCAAGGAGATCTCTGGAACGGCCACCATATGACATATAAGCATGGTCTTGCGTGCCGCGTGGGAGGCTGGTTTCCCTGGTGAATCCCCTTTCTGGAGGCGCGTGTCGGAGCCCGTCGCGGCGCTGCGCAAATCGTGTGAGAGAACCTCCTGGGCTGAGGTCCTTTTTCGCGGTTTTCACTACTGACCAGGGGGATGTGATACATTTGGTCGTGCTGTCTCCCCCAGCTCATCCAGGCCTTCCTCAGGAAGGCGGTCGTTCGTGTTTTGGAGTGGGACCTGGGAGCAAGGCTCGGCCTCCCTGGAAGGGCTTGTGTGGAGCCTGTGCTTTGCTACCTGTGTAGCACTGGGTGTACGCCCTTGCAGAAAACAGTATGCTAGCGGGTTTTTGTTTTGCGACGCGGAATACACTCGTACGCGCGCCTCTGATCTGGGGTATGTGTTGGGTGACGCCACCTGCTCCTTGTGTGCTAAGGCCTCTGACGCTCTGCGGCGCCGGCTGCGGGAGTACCGACATGCTGGGGGCGTGGGGCTTACAGACGCTCCAGTTGCCCAGCAGATCCAGCAACGGGCAGCTAAGGCTGACGACGGTCTGGCTGGATTCGGAGTCTTCGACCACCCCTCCTCCTGGTACCCCGCGCCCTCCGACAAGGGCGGCGTCGCCGTCGAGTGGTTTGGCGGCGTCCCTGGTGATCTTGGCTCGATTTTCGTGGGGAAGTTCGTTGACGCTTTGTGGGCCACGGAAACGGCAGGGCCGTTTTTTCACCGTTTCCAGAAAATGTCACTTGAAAATGGAAGCGGCAAAAAAACGGCGACCAGAAACGGCAAAAAAACGGCTCCAGGATTGGAACTGGAGCGGGAACCGGTCAAAAAACGGCGTCGGAACCGGTAAGAAAAGGCGTCGGAACCGGCAACAAAAACGGCAAAACGGAACCGGTAACAAAAACGTCCCTGTCGTTCCCAGGGCCCACTAAGCGTTGACGGTTCGTGCGCACAGTGTACCATTAATGAATTCAACGGAGCGGCCTGGCCCTTCACCCTCGTGGTTCAAGGCGCGTGTCGAGGAACCGCGCGTGCGCGAAGGCCTGCCTGGGGCCCCTTGTCCCCAGACCCCGCGGTGTGCGGGGTTCCGTGCCTTGTCGGAGGCAGCGCAGTGGGCTTGGGGCCCTCGTGGGATTAGTGCGACTGTGAGACTTGCATGGGTGTTTGTTGCGCCTGCCGTGGCACGAGCAGATTGCGGGGCGCGGGGTGCACGCTGGCATTGCGCAGCTTGTGCGAGAGCACTGGCACAAGGTTACCATCACCAAAGTGCGAGCGCACTTGGCAGTAGATGAAGCAGCCGACGACGTTGGCCATCTTTGCGCCTGGAGTGTTCCTGGGTCGAATCTGCCGCCAAGGCTTCGCTGTTCTTGCACCCTCAGCCTCCGTAGGAGTGTCTCGAGGGCCTTGATGATCCATTGCCGTTGCTCGGGCCGTTGGGCGTCTTGGTTCCAAACTCTTGGCGCTTTAGCCAAAATCCGGTTTCGGTCCGAATCTGGAGGGAATTCCTGTGGGGAGGCAGGTCGACGGTACTCCGCCCGAGCCTGCCCATTCATGGAATTGGGTGTTTTTTTACAGCGTTCCACCTGCATTCGTGGCCGTAGAGGCCGACCCAGTGACCTTCCTGCTGGATGCAGTTGCGCGCTCTCCTTTCGCATCCAGCCCAAGGCCCTCGGAGCCCTTTGGCACAATGTTTTGCTTGTTGGTTACTCGGGCGGCAGTTTTGATTGCATCTGCCACAAGTGTGGCTACCACACCTCTGGTGCCAGGCTTGTCAAGCTTGGCGAGCCATGCCGCCCTGGAGAGAATCGCACTCACAGCAAACCGCGGAGCAGGCTGGAGCGCGGACACCACCCCTCTTCGAGAAAGGTCGGGGTCGCTGTCGACCCTGTCACGTTCTACCATCTATCTCACATAGCTCTCGGTCAGCAGGTCTGCGCACATGTGCGCCAGATTGTTTTGTCCGATTGTTATTACTTCCCCTTGGGGGCCTCGCCCACCCCCTTGCGGAGTATGTGGGCAGCGGGCCTTTGTGGCAACAAAATGAGTTGTCCTGACCAGGGATGTGGGGAAGCCGTCATCACCCAAGAGGGGGAGGAGGGAGGAGTAACCGGAGGAGAGGGAGGAGGGGGAGGACGAGGAGGAGGACGCAGGAGGAGGAGGAGGAGGAGGAGGAGGAGGAGGAGGAGGAGGAGGAGGAGGAGGAGGGGGA